CTCCGGTCGGGGAAGATCCCACATGCCGCAGGGCGGCTGGGCCCGTGAGCCATGGCCGCTGAGCCTGTGCGTCCGGAGCCTGTGCTCCACGACGGGAGAGGCCACAACAGTGAGAGGCCCGCGTAACGCAAAAAAAAAAAAAAAGAAAAAAAAAAGGAGAGGTCCAGTAGGCAGTTGAGGAAAACAGGGATGTGAAGAAGGGTGAACTTAGTCTCTGTGGTCTCTTGAAGAATTGTGGTACTTTGGAACAACTACATTCAGTGCAGCCTAGAAAGACAGTTTAGCAGCAATGGTATGAAGTGGGGTGTGCCTTCTCTCTAGGCCCACAGGAGTAAGCAATTTGATGGACAGCTTCTAGAGGGCTTACACATCAGGATCAGGGCTGGGTATATGCAGTAAGTGACAGGAAGCTAGCCATCCGAAAGCTTCTAATGCATGGGAGTGGATGGTGCTCAGAGAGCAGCAGTTTTATGTTCTGGCTCCCAAAAGAAGGCAATGATCTAATTAGGTTACCCCTGCTTCTCTCTACCATACAAATTGGGATAATCTACAATTCACACCAACTCATTTCATCATAAAAACATCTGTGTGATATCAGCAAAACAAATATTACTAGCCCCCATTTCACAGGGGAAGGCACTAAAACTCTTAGAAACTTTCTGGATCTCATAATTAGTCAGTGGCAGAGTTGGGATACTAGAATTCCAGGTCTTTTTCTAAATCCAGCACTTTTTTCATTAAAAAGGGATAAGAATAAACAGTACATAACATATTAGCTAGAGACAATTAGAAAGAAGAATTAAGATAACTTCATAATTTCTGGTACAGAAGACTTAAATACTAGTGATGTCTCCAATCAAAATTGAAAACTTGAGGATGAAAGGAGATTGGCTGAGAAGATGACTTCACTTTTGAACTGAAATTGCTGGGCAAAAAGTGACTAGGCAAAGTCTAACTAGAACAGCTCTTGTTTCTCTGTAGCTGTAAATCAAGGTCCATCCTTTGGATAATCAAGATGGAAGCTAGGGCTTTTCACAAAATCATCTCCTCAAACATTCCCATGTACACAGTCTCTATTAAGGGAGCAATTAAGAAAGGACCACAGTATATTCTAAAGGCAATGTTCAAGTGAATACAGTTAAGGAAATAAAATAAGGATATTGCTTAAGAAAGTTAACCCTGGCTCTAAAAATAGCTCCTGAGCTTGACTTAGAATACATTTAATTGTATTTCCAGGTTACCCACGAGGTAAAGGGCAGTATTTCTACTCACTTACCAAGAAGCATGTAAGTCTTAACTGATAAATGTGTTTAGATGAAAGGAGCATAAAACGGTGTTATTTATTAGAAAATACCATAACTAGAGCATCTCAGGCTATATTTTCTCTTACTACTTTTCTGACATTTTCTTTGAAGGTCATGGGGATGACCGAGTGCAAAGAGGTTCACAGTATTTGGGGTTATTTATGCAACTTCCTGTGGACATACAATTTAAGCTTGACCAGTCTGATCACTCTGGAATGAGCCCTGGCCAAGTAGTAGGGATTAATCTGCCAGGAGACAGTCTTCAATAAATTATTTGGTCGGAATTTTTTTCTCTTTTCCTGGTTTAAAACATTTTCCTCCAATAAATAATCGAGTTGTACACTGGAAAACGAAAATGACTGACCTCAGAAAGTAAAAGAAAGTCTGAAAATGGAAACTGGAGAGTTTCCCCTTCTAGTGTCCACTGAGTGAGAGAATGTAGTTATTTATTTGAAATGCCAGCAAATGGGCTCCCATGTAATGAAATATTTATTGAAATTGCTTCTTTGGCCCTCTACAGTTGTTGATAAGGTTTAACAAGAGTCAGGTAAGGAAAGCAGAGTGAAGGTATGTCTATTTATTTATTTATGGTTCAAGCAGCTTCGACCATAAGGCTTACATTGGGAAATCATACAGGCAGGGCCATACATGACTGACAATAATAGTTATTTTCCATTTTTGTTGAATCGTTGGCCACAGCTCAGGAAAATCAATCTTAAAGGATTTCTATATTTGCTTGGTTCTGTATTTAAGCCTTTACTCTCTTGTTAAGATGTATTTCTGTTAGTTTTAATTAAAGTTCACAATGTTGAGTACTTACTCAATATTTTTTCATAATTCTATCATCAATACCTTCATTCTCTTTTTTGTTATCTAGATTTTGTTTACCTGTTTGTTTCTCTAGCTTTTCTATACCTTGAGAATCAGTTTTATTTTACTAACTCAAGCTAAGGCCATTTTCTACTCCTTCTCACTTTGAGGAATATAGATCTAGCCAAATTAAGATCATGCCTGTTCAAATTTTAACAATGACCCTGCAAAAGCAATTTCAAAACAATTCTTAAAATAAAATATCTGTATGAGCTATGCTCAGAAAGAATGAGAAGTGTTTAGTGTTCTTAAACCTCACATATACCAAATAAAGACATTCCAGTGAGAAAAGGGGCATCTCTGCTCTTCAGAGATCACTGGGTGATACTGGGGCTGTGTGAATTTTCATGATATTCATCATGATTTATTGACAAAGCTTGAGAAAGTCACTAACTGGAGGTTTCAAGAAATAGTCTCCAGCATTACTTAAAAAGCATTCCAACATGTTTATTTTTGCTATTTCTGGATTTTAGAAAGCTAATAAGTTAATAGAAACAGAGAACTTTACAGTTTAAGATAGCTTTAGAAACCATCTAATCAAAATTCCTCAATTTATTAGTAAGAAAACTGGGATCCAGAAGCATTAAGTGAATTGAACAAAGGCACGTATTAAGCTGCAGAGCAGAAACTCGAATCCAGGTCTCTTGACTCCTGCTTCAGTGTTTTTCAACAACATCAAATGATCGCATCAAAATCACACACACACACACACGTATAGTTGGAAACCAGCTATATACATGAGTCTAATAACGTTTTCAAAGATCACACATGATTTGAGCAAGCTGCTAACTCATGACCTCCATATGTGTTTCAAACAGTATAGTGGATGTGATGACATGCTGCCCAGATCTGCCCTCCAAGACTAAGCCCTCATTCCCCCAGCTTCTGGGAGAGTTGGCAGTCAACACTCTCAACAGTCTCTCTTCTGGACTTACCTTGGCCAAAGAGGGTCCAAAGTTAAAGCCCTGCATTGAGTGTCTGGGCAATACCAGCATATAAAACCCCTGCTCCCTTACCCCAAATTGGAAGCCTCCCAGGCTCCAAAGCTCCTCCTGGGCTTGGATTACGCTTTTGTTTCCCCTGCACTGCAGTTCAACTTCTTTCTCCCCAGCCCTGCTTCCTTCACCCACCCACCCACCCAGGTGTTCATCCTGCAAGCTCTACTCCCCAAAATTCTGCCTGCTCTGCAAATCTTCATCTCACAGTCAGTCTCCCAGAGAATCTGACCAGAGACATACAGCATCATGGGTAAGCGGATGGGCTCTGTAATCAGACTGCCTGGGTTTAAATCCTGGCCCCACCACTTTCCAGCTGTGTTACCCTTTAAATCTCTTTTTGATACGTTTTTTTTAAAAAATAAGAGTAATATTAGAACCTACCACACAGGGCGGGTATGTATTATATGAGATAATCCATGAAGCCGTAGTGTAGTGCTTGGCACAGACTAATTGGCAGTATCAGTCAGGATGCTAAAGGAAACAGATGGCACATTCAAAATAAAGGACTATTTACAGGGGTGTGGGCAGAGCTAAAAGAACCAATAAGGAGTGGCAAGACATCCAGGGACTAGCAACAGTGGGAAGCCAGTACCAGCCCTAGGCCGGACAGGGCAAGTAGACAAACCAATGTTACAGATACACAATGTGAGGTATACAGCCTGGAGAGAGCGGCACTGTGAAAGAGGCAACCTCCAACAGAGGCAAAGCAGGAGAGGAACTCAACTCTGCCAGACCATGAGAAGGGAGTTAGAGAATGAGGATAAATATCGTGGGTTCTTTCCCCTCCCACCCTCTGGTTTCCTGCTGGTCTGCCATTGGTCAAACACAACCAGAAGATAGAGGCAAGAGATGCTAGTAGAACCAATACATAGAAATCAGCATTCCCATCCTCCCTTCCACCGTTCCCACCCCCACACACACTCCAAAGAACAGGGCAGGGCAAAGAAGTGCAGAAATGGATCTAGAGGACAAACTGATAACAACCAGCATGGTAATCCTCAAATATTAGAGATTATTCAAATTTCTGCAATTCCTGGCATACCCTATGTTTGGAGTCTTGCTGTTCATAAAACTTCAAGTTAATCTGAAGTTTGATAAGACGGAATTGAATTTTTTCTTTTAGAAAATCAACTCATCCAACCAGTCCAACCTGCCCATTAGCACAGTATCTGGCACATAGTAGGTGCCCAACATATGTTAATGGATGATTTGACTAATTGATTTAACATAAATGAAATAAAATTTTTTATAGAAAAAGTAAAGAAAATCCTTTGGGAGATATGATTTAACTTCAACATTCACAACATGCTTTTAAGTTACTGAAGCTTTTTAGAATTGTCAGGAATTGTATTCACTGACTTCCTTAAAAGAAAGTTATCAAATAAATGCAAGTTTGGATTGTTATTATTTCTCACTAATAGAATCAAAGTTTGCAAAAATAAAATTCTAAATTCTAACAAGACAGAAGACAATACTACAATACTACAATACTCCTTCCCCCAAAATAATTTTATCAAAGGTAATAAAATAAATTCCACTGATGGAAAGTCCTTTTTTCACCTGGGTGAGATCTTCAAAGGACATTTCAAGGAATGGAAAAGAGAACTGCCCTCTCTCCCACAGACGAAGAAGAGTTAGGCACCAGGGCTAGATGTGTAGCTTTGGATATGCCACCTAGCCTTTCTGAGTTTCAACCTTTCCTCTACAAACCAAAAAAATAATAAAGATTTTCTACCTCAAAGGACAAAATGGGGTCATTTCAAGTGCACAGAAGTGGTGGTATAGTTTCCTATGCTTATGTGCAAACACACAACTGCCAAGGACCTACCTGTCTACCACCGAGGAAGCTTCGATGTTGCCATGCAAGGGTGACATTTCCCACTTCCATAGGGACAATAAAAAGTTACAGAGATCCCAGAAGTGTCCCATCTCTTAACTAGACTCTGAACTCTTCCAAAGTGTGGAGCCCAGGCCTTCTCCAAGGCATTCAACCAGGAGTTCTCAGATTGGGATGAGTCTCTCTGAAAAGAAAGGATGAAAAAAAGGTGTATTGTTCAGGGAAGATGATCCACTGACTACATGAGACCCTAAAGAAAGATTAGGATCCCCTGCCCTAAGAAGCATACCTAAGTGACCTCCCTAACCACACTCCACCTGCTACCCACCACCTCCCCCCATCCAGGCAATGGAGGGAGCTAGCAGCCCCCTGCAGTTAATCAACACTCCACATACACTTCACAAAGGTAAAGGATGAAGTTTTTATCTGTGAATATTGTGGCTTTACTTCTGGAAGCTTGAATATCAATTTACATAATTCAGTTTTCAGCATATGCAGTCAGTTCTCACAGTCCAATGTCCCTTTTTATTATTATTTGAGATTTTGCTAAGGCAAATCTTTTGATTGTCTGAAGGTTTGCCTGCGAGCTTTATGCAGTAGAAGTTTTAAGACAAAAGTTAACATTTATGAAAATCTCAACTCTGAATTAAATGCAATATCCAGAAAATGTTTTATTAATAAAGTAGTGCTAAGATTTGTAAAATAAGCTAGCCTGATTTTTTAATTCAAATATAGTTAACGGGATGTTTTCACAACCTCGAAAAGCATATTTTATTCGAATTTAAATTCCTGATTTGGGGTTTCTTAGGTAAAGAGAAGGGGAATTTCTCTTTAATTTGATTAGTGTAATGATAATAATGTTATTTAATTATTTAGCCAGATCATATATAGCATTTTCTATGGGCCAGGCAGTCTTCCAAGGACTTATAGCTATTAAGTTTATTTAATCCTCATAACAAGCCTATAAGATAGGTAATATTATTATGCCCATTTTATAGATGAGAAAACTACAGCACAGAGATAGTGGTTAAGCAACATGCCCAAAGTCACACAGCTAGTAAGTGGCAGAGCCAGGATTCAAACTCAGGCAGATACAATCATAGCAGCCACAATAAAATTGAGATTACTGTGGGCTTCCGGGAAGATGGCAGAAGAGTAAGTCGCGGAGATCACCTTCCTCCCCACAGACACACCAGAAATACATCTACATGTGGAACAACTCCTACAGAACATCTACGGAACGCGGGCAGAAGACCTCAGACCTCCCAAAAGGCAAAAAACTCCCCACGTACCACGTAGGGCAAAAGAAAACAGAATAAACAGAGACAAAGAATAGGGACAGGACCTGCACCAGTGGGAGGGAGCTGTGAAGGAGGAAAGGTTTACACACACTAGGAAGCCCCTTCGCGGGTAGAGACTGCGGGTGGCGGAGGGGGAAAGCTTCGGAGCCGCGGAGGAGAGCACAGCAACAGGGGTGCGGAGGGCAAAGCGGAGAGATTCCCGCACAGAGGATCGGTGCCGACCAGCACTCACCAGCCC